CAGCGGCAGGAACAGGAATTTAGATACACTTCAGGATTGCGACCAGTTGCAGAGAAGACAGGAGACGCCGAGCTCCCTCCAGGTCATGCCGGGGTGCCGAGTGTCCCAGGACCCCAGCTGAACTCCCTGCTCCAGGGTGCTGATCTGCCCTCACTTCCTCCCAGGCAGACCGGGTAGACGCAGTGCCTCCCGGCGGATCCACGCACACGGTTCTTCCACGCCACTCGCGACTGGGGCTCTCTCAACTCATCCCTCAGATAGGTAGAGCCCCGACTCCCATTCCCTGCTCTGTCCTTCGTGCAACCTCAGATCCCCCCTCCCGATACTCCCCACACACACACACACAAAGCGTGGCCTCCTGTTATGATCACCCACAGCTGCGGATAACATACTAGGTCTTATGAAGGAATCGATCAACAAAACCCCGCAATCGATCTACACACCTCCGTCCCTCCTCCTCCTCCTCCTCCTCGCTCTTCCTCGTGTAATAACAGGGCATCTCAGTCCCCCCTACACACACACACACAGAGAGAGAGACACACACGATGGACACAAAACGAGGCATCGCTTACCTGCTGGTTCCGAGGCGCATGCTCCTAGTTCGGGCATTCAAACAACTTTGGGGGTTTAATTTAAAAAATAAAATGAAATGATACAGCAGTAGGGGGAGGGGAGGGAGTCTTATCGTGACGGGTCTCTCGCTCTCTGTCCTCGGTCACTCGCGACCCGGTCCCCGGCAGACGGACGGATGCATGGTCTGTCTCCTTATTTTGGGCGAAAGCGAAACTGCGAGCCCATCGCCGGTCTCTGCTCGCCGCTGCCCTGCCTCCCCCCGGTCTCCTCGCGTCCTTTCGGGGTTCGGGTGCTCAGCCCGCACCGCTCAGGTCCTCGGCTGGTTTAATTTTACACACGGGAACCGCCACTGGCCGGAGACGCAGCTCAGGCGGCGGTCACGCTGGCGTCAAACGGGGGGGGAAAAGCTGGATTCTGTAGGTAATTTTTCCGAGCAGCACAGGAATTTGTTTCGAATATGGTCGCCTGCTGCTCCACCAAAAATGAAACAAAAAAAAGGAAACGACAGACGAACAGGGCTGAGCCGCGCTCGTGCTTCACGGTAAATTGTCAAAACCGCTTCATGGTTTTAGTTCCAAGGCACGTTTGTCTCTCCTGCCCTCTCAGAAACACCACGGCGATGGACGTTCTCCATTTTTTGTCTTGAATAAAAAATGAAAAAAAAAATTAAAAATGGAAAAAAAAACATCATGGCGGACACGGGGTCGCCCCCTCCCTTTCACCCCTGACAGGGGCGGGACCGTGCCCGTTGGGACTTGTAGTTTTCGCTCCCCTTCGTCGCTGTTGTCTACTGCTGTGAAACGCTTAATGGAAAACTACAAATCAACATGGCGGACGAGACCTTTGACCCTACTGTTGACCACCGCCCCCTTCCTTTCCCCGCCCCCACCATGCTGCACTGAAAGGGGTACTGGGAGTTGTAGGCGAATTCAATGGGGTTTCCATTGTTCTTGGGATGACTGGAGATGGAAAAGGACTTCATAGTGTCATGTGGCCGCTGGGCGGACTGGAACATGGTGTCATGAGGTGTTGTGGGGTTTGCAGTTTTGTTCCCCTACCAGTGTTTTTTTCAAAATAAAACGTGCCAGAGCACACATCTGTACATATTTAAACTTAAATGTTGCTCACTTGCGCACTGTTTTATTATTAGTATAAAACTGATTAATAATAATTAATAATAATTGCTTACACTTATATAGCACTTTTCTGGACACTCCACACAAAGTGCTTTAAAGGTAATGGGGACTTCTAATGGCCAATGTGCAGCCCCACCTGAATGATGATGAATGAATAATTAGATATTTCATATATAAGCATATTAATAATATACATTGATTTACATTACCCTTTATCATTAGTGAAGCAGTGGTTCTGTGGGGATGGAGTAGTGGTTCTGTGGCTAAGGATCTGCACCTGTGGCTGGAAAGTTACTGGTTCAAATCCTGCGGCCGGCAGAGGAATCTTACTCTGTCTGTCTGTGCTCTGACCCCAGGCTTCTCTCCCTGTCTGTGTGTCTCATGGAGAGCAAGCTGAGGTGTGAGAAAAGACAAATTCCTAATGCAAGAAATTGTATAGGGCTAATAAAGTGATGTTATGTTATGAATACTCATAGTAATGTCAATGAAGGGATTTCATAATATGGATAACATGGAAAACGTTCTACCAAGAGCTGTTACTTCCCTCATCCCTTCCTCAGTCTGGCTCCTATTTGGCTACCAGGAGCCAATCTCTAAATCCTGGATGCTTTAAACCTGGTACTGTCCCATGGGGTTCTGTGCTTGGATTTGACTATTGAGTATTTACATGCTGCCTGTTGGTCAGGTCAGATCATTCTCCATTGTGGACCTGGGTTTTCCTGCTGCTCTGATGACACTCAGATTTACTGTCACACACGAAAAATGCTCCCCAGCCAAAAAGTTGTGCTTCCTTTTTTCTCCTTTCAACCTGGAACAAACCGTTACTTGTTCCTTTGCAGCCTACTCATGCTGACGCAGCTCCCTACTTGAACTACCTCAAATTTACTTGCAGTCCAAATCTGAGATGACAGCTGCACCGTCTGCAATTCACAGGCTCCTCACAGTGGGATAGATCCTTCTCACTCTGAGGAAGACCCTGCTCCTCACAGTGGGATAGATCCTCCTCACTCTGAGGAAGACTCTACTCCTCACAGTGGGATAGATCCCTCTCACTTTGTAGTGAATCTAAGATCACAGTAGAGCCTCCTGCCCTGACTGGAGGATCTCATCCAGCTGGTTATTGAGAGAAGTCAGGGTATCAGCTTCAACAACATGGCTGGGCAACTTGTCCCACACTCCCACCACCCTTTGTGTAAAGTAAAGCCTCCTCTCAGTCTTATGTGCACTTCTCAGCCTCCACTTGTGTGCTCTGGTGCTGGTGTGGGAGGGAGTTCTAGATCCGGTCCCATCAATGAGCTGCTCTCAACTGAAGCCCTTTAACGGACCCAGTCCTTCTGCGCCAGTCTGTAATGTCATTTGTGTTTCAGTTCAAAGCTGGGGCCGCTCTCAGACAGGGGGCTTTGCGCCCCAATCAGCAGAGTCGCTGTCCAGCCGCAGCCAGTGATGTCACGTGGCAGAATGTGATGTCACTGGGTGCTGAGTTAATGATGTCGCTGAGGTCAGAGTCAAAACTCCGTTGGGAAGGAACATTTGCATTAGCAGCTATTAGAGTATTAGCAGCTATTAGTATCAATTAGTAACAGCTCAACTGAACCCACAATTACAGATTATTATTATTATTATTATTATTATTATGGGTGGTGGGGGACCCTGGAGTCTACCCCAGCAAGCACAGGGCAGGATTCACTCTGGACAGGGCACAAACAAACACACACACACACACACACTCCAGGGCCAGTTTTCCCAGAATTAATCTGTCCTTGAAAAGCTTCCACCTGTGGGAGGAGACCCATGCGAGCGCGGGGAGAACATGCACACTCCCCGCAGACAGCCGCAAGGCCCCCGGCGGCCGTGCTGGCCACTGCGCCGCCCTGTTGTTGTCAGGAGCGGCTTTAGGGAGTGGCGCTGGAGAGAGCGATTCCTCTCGGGAAGCGGGTGAGTCTCTCCCAGCCCGTCACAGAGCTCAGGGAGCGAGAGCCGGACAGCCGGACCCACCGCAGCGCATCGTTCAACAGGCGGTCTCCTGGAAACGTGGAAACGTCTTCTCCGCTCTTCCTGCGGTCGGTTCTGGTCCGAGTTCCCACTGTTCGCAAGCGGAGCGGCTCTGCCCGATACTTCGATATTTTTAGACGCGCCTCCACGCCCCCGGTTTCCGGCGCGTCTCTCTCTCTTAGCTACGCTGCCCCTGAGTGGCAGAGGCGGTCAGCCGGCGTCTCTCTCCCTTTCTCTCCCCGGTGCCGGCACAGCTCACACCGTCCGGCCTGGAACTGGGCCGGGCCGGCTCTCGCCAGGGGACGAGGGCGCAGGATCTGTAGCCCAGCGCCAGCCATGCAACCCGAGGCGGGACCCGGCGGCTCCACCGCCCCCAGCCCCGCCGCGATCGGGGAGCCGCCGAGCGACAGGAAGGGCGGCTCGGGAGCCGCGCCGGACTCGGACCCCGCCGGGGCGCTCTCCTCCTACCAGGACTTCATCACCAGCACCTACATCGACCTGGTCAGCGCCAACCAGCACTCGGTCCAGGCGCTGAACTGGCGCCGGCTGTACCTCAGCCGGGCCAAGCTGAAGGCGTCCGGCCGCACCTCGGCGCTGCTCTCCGGCTTCGCCATGGTGAGTAAGGGCACCGGGGGGGGGTCAGCCAGAGATAGTTGTGTTGGGACCTTAGAACAACTGTTACCCACCGAGACGCAAGTTTTTTAAAAAAAAAAAAAGCCTGGCGCTGAATCACGGAACTCGCGTTGGGTCTCGGCAAAGGTGCTGGCTTACGTGCTTGGGTGGAAGATGGGCGTGTGTTTGTCACCCGCCGGTAACTACGGCGCGCTCGGACGTGGAACCGTCACCGTGGAAGTGTGCGGCGCTGCCGAGAGCTCCTCGGGCCGGGCTCCGTGTGTTCGTGGACGGGCCGCGGCGATGTCCGCGGAGCAGCTACCCGGCGATAGAGCCCGTGATCCCACGGCGCTCCCGGCTCACTCAGGGGTCGCCAGTGCTGGTCCCGTGGGGCGCGACCTCTTAACTGGAACGATCCCTAAACCTTTGCGACTTGGAAGATTTAATGTTTCTCCTCAGAGCTGTAGCTGGACTGGCAGGTGCCGCACCTGGAGCAGCAGGAAACGGGGTTCAGACGAAAGCTGTTGTTAGGTCGGTTTAATCGAGCGCTCGGGTGGACTGGGAACCGCTGGCCCAAAGAGCACGAGCTTCTGCATCAGGCCCTGCTTAGCTCGACCTAAGGCCGACCTGCTGTGGTCACTCTCACCCCCCTCCCTCCGAGTCAGGGGGTCACAGGGGGCCCTGGGGCTGCAGTCGCCCCCAGACCAGGGTCTTCTGTCCGACTGCACCCCTGATCGCTGAGCCTTCCATTCTTTTCAGTAGAGGAGAGAATGAGAAGAAGAGTTTTGTTACATCCTGAGTGATGTGTAATTATGTAATTAATGAGGGTTTATTAGCGGGTCTGTGCTTGCACCTGTGGCTGGAAAGTTGCCGGTTCGAATCCCGAGGCCAGCAGAGGAATACTACTCTGTTGGGCCCCTGAGCGAGGCCCTTAACCCCAACTGCTCCAGGGGCGCCGTATAAAACAGCTGACCCTGCGCTCTGACCCCCAGCTTCTTCTTGGAGAGCAAGCTGGGGTCTGTGAAAAGGCAAATTCCTAATGCAAGAGATTGTATAGGGCCAATACAGTGATCTGATCTGATCTGATCTGATCTTGTCTCAGTCTCTGGGGCCTGAAACCTTCTGCTCAGACGTTCAGCCAGCAGGGCTTGGTCAGCCATTCCTGAAGCACAGTTTTCCTCTTCCTCCTCCTCCTCCTCCAACATCCACAACTCTCAGTGAGCGGCTGCTTAACCAGTGAGGTCATTAACGAGCTGTTACCATTTAACGAGGTGCAGATATTAAGGAGGGGTGGCTATTTGATGAGGTGTTACCATCACAGGGTACGGTCATTAATGAGGTGTGGTCATTAACAAGGTGTTACCATCAGAGGGTGGAGGCATTAATGAGGTGTTACCATTTAACGAGGTATCTTCATTAACGACGTGTTACCATGACCGGGTGGGATCATTAACGAGGTGTTACCATTTAACGAGCTGTGGCTATTTGACGAGGAGTGGAAATTAATGAGCTGTGGCTATTTAATGAGGTGGAGCAAACAGTCCCACTGTCCTCAACATCTCCCCAGTATAGTTGCTCTCCTCCAGAGCCCAGTTTCTAATCGGTAAGAAATTCATTAACCAGTACAGGGTCCCTCCTATGTCACAAGAGCACCAGTGGCAGCCCTTCAGGGTGTCCAGTCAGCCTCTTTGTCCTCAGGGGCTCAGGTGATATGGGGCAGAAGTGGGGTCACCCATGCCCCCAGAGCGCCCCCCAGGCTCCTCTCCAGATGGACGTGGTCCAGTGACTGCACTCCGGCACAGCCTGTCAGGAAATGCCGCGGGCCTATTCTGAGCACGTCTCTTTGTTCTGTGGATGCTGGAATTTGAGTCGGAGCGGCGCTCCGTGGTCCGGCACGTCGTCCCCGGCTGGCTCAGCCCGCTTTCCCAGCAGTAACTCATCCCGGATTACTGTTCCCACGGCCGGATCCGCGGATAACCTCCAGCTGACCGCCGGCCGCCAGTTCCCGAGAAGACGGATGGGGCCTGTGCTGTCCACAACTGTGGAAAATCGTCCCTGGCGTCTGCCAGAAGGAATACATCACACATTAGACGCGCAGAGCAAAACAGAAAAACCACTCAAGTCGCATAAAACCACATGAAAGCACATAAAACCCTGAGAGCAGCATGTGATGGCTAAATAAATTGCAAGTAGTGGGGCGGTACATATACAGTAATTAATAATAATTGCTTACACTTATATAGCACTTTCCTGGACACTCCACTCAAAGCGCTTTACAGGTA